CACACACACACACACACACACACACACACACACACACACACACACACACACACACACTTGAGACCTCTGGTGCCTTGGTGGAGGTCGCAACAAGACCGGAGTGCCTCTGTGTCTCCGAGGTGGCGTTTGATCCGATTAGAGCCAAGTGGAATCCTCCCCCCCCCGTTCAACAAATCTCTCCAACAACTTCAAGGAATTACTGCTTCATGTCGCGCTCAACTTCCAAGCATGCACGCACGCGCACACACGCGCTCATGAATACTCTTCACCTGCACCACGTCACCTTACTCGATGCATGCATTGCTCATGAAATGGGATCTCAGTTACGTTTTTTCTTCTTAAAATACTGAATATGCACAGTCATATGTTTTAAGTACTACTACAGTGGTACCTCTATTTACGAAATTAATTGGTTCTGGAAAAAATTTCTTGACTAGAAAATTTTGTAAGTAGAGACGTGATTTCCATGTAAATGCCCTAATTCGTTCCAAGCCCCCCCGAAATTCAGACATAAATGTTTTCTAAAGCATAAAAACGCATCAAAATATGAAACAAATACATGTTACAATTAGATTATTTCACAATAAATGAGAGTTGTGCATCATGTAAAAAACTGAGTAAAAAATAAAAATGATGGTCATTTAACTTTTAACGGCATCCTCATCATTTTTTGCCCTCTTTAGTTCATGTTCTCTCTCAGAAAGGGTTTTTTGCCTGGCGTTTTGTAAAGAACCGATCCAAGGACGTTTGCTTTGTCGGCTTTGAACAATCCTTCGAAAATGTCCAAGGCAAATATCAGCATAGAGAGCGATCGCCCAAATGGGGATCACTTTTTTTGGATGATTCGCATATACGTCAAGCTATCGGAATGCCTCATGGCCCGAGGGGCGAATGACGAGGACGCTGCATAGACACTTATCTATCGATCTGCACCCATTGACACATACAGTAGAGGTCCCTCTTAGCCAATGGGATCCCAAGAAGATGCTTGGTAGTAGCCAATGGCAGAGCAGCTATAAGTATGTTGCGTTCAGGAAACTCAGAGCTGCGAGCAGCAAACCATACTGGATTTTTACCTTTCGTATCTCGAAATTTCTTTCGCAACAAGAGACAATATTTTTCTGTTGAGGTGTGTCGTAACTTGAAAATTTCGTATGAAGAGACGTTCGTAAGTAGAGGTACCACTGCTATACATACAATGTCCATCGGCACACAAACATCAGAAGTTACCGAATGAGCACATTGCTGAAAGGTGTGTCCGAAAGCAAACCTGTTGTTGTTGTTGCTGCAGAGCCCTACAGCCCAGCCGTGTGGGTGATGATGTTCGTCATGTGTCTATCGGTGGTGGCCGTCACCGTTTTCATCTTTGAGTTCTTCAGCCCAGTCGGTTACAACCGCAGCCTGCAGAGCGCCAAAAGTAAGACGGCAACCTCGCCTTTGTCGTCTTGTTGCCAAGCGTGTGTGCGAGGTCGACTTCAAGAGTTGTTTTCTTTCATGTGATTGTCCATGTGACAGTGGGCAGAAAAACTAGCTTGAATATTTCATGAACCCGAGGATTCCTTTCGGCCCCAATTTGTCATGGCGTTAAACCGGTAATCCTCAACGAAGATTTTTTCTTCAGGCGACCTGTTCCCTTTTTTGTCTCAGAGTCGGGCGGCTCAAAGTTCACCATCGGCAAGTCGGTTTGGCTCCTGTGGGCGCTGGTCTTCAACAACTCGGTGCCTGTAGAGAACCCGCGAGGAACCACCAGCAAGATCATGGTCAGTTTGTTGGTTTTTCAAACAAGATTCACACCCCTCCCCCCCATTTATTCATTCCATTGATGTGAAACTCCGAAGCAGGTCAGACGAGCTTTTCTCCGACCTGAAAGCGTACCAGCGTTAGCTTGGCGAGTTCAGAAGCAGCCTGACAGCGTTGACGAGGACTGGCAGGAGGAGACGAGCTCGTCTCATTCGCTTGAGTTTTCAAGCCATCCGCTGGAGCGAAAGCAGGTGGCTGCTCGGCAAATTTGGATTGTTGCGCCTCGCCCATCTCGTGCAAACTTGCCACCGACCCATACAAAGATAAACGACTACTCTCCCGTTAGCCTTTCGATAGCATTTTTTAGCCTATTCGCCAAACAGTGGACTGGTTGCTCCTCATTGTCAGGGTGTGGTGAAGTCCTTTGATGTGGAATCATCCGCAAATTGTCAGCATAAAGATCCTTCGATAGATCTGGTTTTCAAACGGGTGGCCCGGTCCCCACGCTTTGTGACATCATTTAAAGTGTGACACGGCTCCGTGTCAGCCCTGTCACGCTGCGATGTCATCCGGCGACTGACCCTCGCAGCACGGACAACCTGTGACGCATCAACCCGCTCACTGACCCGCGATTATACGTAAGGATGAGCCTGCTTTACGTGCTGCTGCTCTTCGTGGCGTGGCTCTACATCAGCCTGATCGGCTACCTGCTGTGCATCCTCACCTTCTCCTTAGTCCGCGAGCTCTTTTACTCGTAGATTTAGTGACGATGTCACAGAGCAATTTCTTTCCGGTGTCTGACCACTGATTCCTCTTTGTGGAAGTAAAATTCATGGCCAGCGGTTTATTGGTTTGCTTTTCCCGGCCGTTCCCGCAGGTCCTGGTGTGGGCCTTCTTCGCTGTCATCTTCTTGGCGTCCTACACCGCCAACCTGGCCGCCTTCATGATCCAGGAGGAGTACATCGACACTGTGTCGGGACTCTCTGACAAGAAGGTAAAAATCATGCGCAACCTCTGGAAGTTGACTTTGCCCGTTATATTCAAGGAGCAACGCGCGGAAATATTTTGGTTAAATGTGTTACATTTTGATTCCGTGGGCCATTTTTCTACAGTTTTTTTTTTTTTGTTAGATTGCCTTTTGAAAACGGAAAGAGCAAATGATCCACCAACTGGAAGTGACCACTCGTATTAGTTGCGTTTTCTCATCCTCAAAATTGTCCTGGCCTTTGTCGCCCCCCCCCCCCCCCCTTTTTTGCGCAGTTCCAGCAGCCCACTGAGCAGTACCCGCCCCTGCGCTTCGGCACGGTGCCCAACGGCAGCACGGAGGAAAACATCCGCTCCAACTATCCCAACATGCACCAGTACATGATCCGCAACAACCAGAAGGGCGTGGAGGAGGCCATCGACAACCTGAAGACAGGGTGAGTGACGGCACACCAAAGACGCTGCCAGCTGCTGCCACTCAGGCTACAAGACATCGCTGCAAGAGTCGCTCTCTCAGATGTTTGGGCTGCTCTCGTTACTCAGTGACTTCTTCTAGCGTCTTCCTTGGTGGGGAGTCCTCTCGGAATTCTCCACAACTCCTTTGCCGCCTGATTGGTTATTGGCTGTTTATGAAGCATGTCTACTTCAAGCCTCATCGCCATCTCCATCACCTATCTTTACTCGGGTCTCGCTCATCAGGGGATGCTTGAACGTATCCCGATCAACTTCGGGCAAAATCTCAATAATAATGTGGTCTGTTTTGTCATAATCTGGGCTCAATCTCGTTCTTGACTCGGTCTCTGCTCCCAAAAGTCTTGGTCTTGTCTTGGGCCTTGGTGAGTTCTGGTCTCAGACAAGTTGTTTTTTTTATTCACGTGCCCGTGTTTGTGTTTGTGTGTGTGTGTTTTTTTTTTTTTGTGTGTGTGCCGCTGCAGTAAACTGGATGCTTTCATCTACGACGCTGCTGTGCTCAACTACATGGCCAGGAAGGATGAAGGCTGCAAGGTGACCAACCAACTGACTCATCACTAATTGACAAAGTGACTGACTGACTGTCAGACTGACTAAGCGACCGACACAGTGACTAATGACCTGACCGATGGATGCACTGACCCACCTACCGTACCAAATAATTGACCCTCCGACTGACGGAATAGAATCAAAGTAACTGACAAACTAACTAATTGACTAACTGCCTAAATCGGGGGTCGGAAACACGCGGCTCCAGAGCCGCATGCGGCTCTTTAGCGACATCTAGTGGCTCCCTGCAGCTTTATAAAAAATGTTTGAAAATGGAAAAATATTTTGATAGTAGGCTAATATAGCTCAAATAGATAGAGACACATGTTGCAGCTCTGAAAAAGGAGAGCTGTGGTGTTGTTTTTAAAACGTACACTTTATTTATGCTTTTAACAGTCTCGACAAACACAAACACGTCTGCGTCCGACTCCGTGCCTTCTCTCTTCTCGTTCGACTCGAGAGGCTTTCAAAGACAGCCTCCGAAAAACGGAAATTAATGATCACTTCACTGACACTAAGAAAAGCGAAAATAATGCACCAAAACAAAACATCAAGCAAGGAAATCATAAAATAAATTCTATGGGGGCGTTTGTGAACACACAACAAAGGAATGAATAACAAACAATTCTGAGACAGTCCAGTCTCCTACATGCATACAGCATGTGTTTCCTTCATTGTAAGTTTTATAGAAGGCTTTTATTTTTTTGCGGCTCCAGACAGATTTGTTTTTTGTTTTTTTTGTCCTATATGGCTCTTTCAACATTTTGGGTTGCCGACCCCTGGCCTAAATAAATAACGTTAGACTCACTAACTAACCGCCTAATACATAAAGACTGCCTAATGACAACGTTAACCAATCAGTTCACTTATGAATGAACTGACTGACTAACCACCTAACCGGGGCAGTAAGTGAAAGACTGACTGACTGACCGAACCAACTAACTAATGAACCATGTCGCCAACCGACCAACAAAGTGACCATATATCTCATTGTTAACCACCCAAGGATCTGGATCTCCTTGTCAGATGGGAGAACAAAACTCTAAATGGTGTCAGTGACACTTGCAATTTGACGACCCCCATGAAGGCGAGTCTCATCTTGCATGGCTCTTTCTTCACAAGGTCATGACCATCGGCTCCGGCAAAGTGTTCGCCACCACCGGCTACGGCATCGCTCTGCACAAGAACTCCCGCTGGAAGAGACCGCTGGACCTGGCGCTGCTGCAGCTCGTGGGAGACGGTAAGGGTCATTTCCTCGCGTGGGTTGCCAGAGCAGATCAGCAAAGTGGAACAAATTGAGACAAGATGAGATCGTGTCTGTGGAGATCCACGGGCACCTTGCAGTTATCCACAAAAGTTGAATAGAGATATTTGGGCTTTTGCCTTTTCCCCTTTCATCCCAAGAAGTCTTTGTTTTTTTTTCAGGTTTTTGGACTTTGGAGCGACCCCACTTGAACATATTAGGAAATGCAGATGGTTGGGTGGACTTTTTTGGGGAATCCATATTAAGGAAGGAAGGAGGGAGGGAGGGAAAGAGGGAGGGAGAGAGAGAGAGAGAGAGAGAGATGCTGTTAATGTGATTTGCGACCTGTCGCAGGTGTTGATCTTTGAAGAGGGTTTTTTATTTTATTTTTTGATTTATTTATTTTTTGGGGGGGTACCTTTTCCGGTGTTTGTCCATGAGGTGCATGGCATAGCCATATAATGTATCGTGCTCATTTATTGGTTAGTCTAAGTCGCTGATGGTTGTAACGGTCTGCTAGCCTGACTTGTGTGCGGACAGCGTGGGATCGGTTCCAACTAAGTGATGGTGTGAATGGTTGTCGGTCAGTCGCAGGATACATATAGAGACGACTCGATATGTATCCTGCGACTGACTGGTGACCAGTTCAAGGTGTAGTCTGCCTTGCGCTCAAAGTTCCCCCCGCCCCTCTGCGATCCTGTTCGTGTTAAAAATGGATGAAGTCCTGCTGCCTACCGATCGATGTGCGCTGACGTTAGCGTTAGCTGGCGTTAAATTGGCTTAGTGCATAATATCATTTGTGCCTTTTACCTCATTTAAGATGCCTTGTTTGTCTGGTGTATTTGACAAACACATTAGCAAGCGTGAGTAATTTGTGGGAATGTGAGGTGAGCCAGGTGGGGAATCTCCTGGGAGGGTCAACTGAGTTCAGTTGAATTTAATTGCAGCATCGGGATGCTTTTGAATCCCTGCACTAGGAGAAGGAAGAGTTTTTTTGTTTTTTTTCCTCTCTCATCAGAGTGGATATTGCGGTCAAGGTTGGCCCACCGCAGCGCTCCCAGCCCTCCAGATCACAATCATTAACCACGAGGTCAATAAGTGTTGTAACTGTGAGAGACCTCCATTGACTGGACTCATGTTCTCTTTGTGTGTGTGTGTGTGTGTGTGTGTGTGTGTGTGTGTGTGTGTGTGGGGGGATGTCTACTTTTACTTACAATGAGATCGACATGTTGGAGCGTCTTTGGCTGTCGGGAATCTGCCACAACGACAAGATTGAGGTACACGTCCCGGTTTTCAAATACAACAAAGTTGAGATTCAACTCAACTCAACTGTATTTATAGAGCACTTTCAAACAGCCATCGCTGCATACAAAGTGCTGTACATGGAGCAATTTAACATATACAACAAACAGTAAAGCAAATCGGTAATAAAGACGGTAGAAAGCACCGAACAGCAAAACCAAGAACAAATCTAAGTCATGCTGAGTCAAATGCCAAAGAATACAAGTGAGTTTTGAGGCGGGTTTTGAAGATGGGCAGCGAGGAGGCTTGCCGAATGTTCAGTGGATGTGTTCAGTTATTGCTCTTCTTGTGGCTGCTGTTATTGAAGATAAAGCACACACATAATCATGGAACCGAGGCAGTCCTGTGGGAGGAACCACACGGCATCCAGACGGACAGAAAATACAAACAAGAAATAGTCGTAGCGCGAACTGTGGTAGGAGTAGTACGAGAGGTGACAGTGGTTGTTGTCGTTTATAGGAGTAGTTGTAGAAGCAGCTTAGTGGTGTTCTATTGTAGTCGCCCGGTCATAGTGTTAGTGATGGTGGTCGAAAAGATGCTGGAGATTGTCTTTATAAGTATTAGTGTTGTAGGAGAAGTACAACTAGTACAAGTGGTGGTGCTAAGTCGTAAGAGGAAGCGATTGACAGTCGTAGTGATTGTGGTTGTTGCGGAAATAGATGGAGGGGGGAGGGGCGGAGTTGTAGTGCCAATCATGTTAGTAGTTGGCTGATTATGGTGTGTGATGTGACTTTTAACATGACCGTGTGCGTGTCCTCCCCGTGTGCGACGGCGCAGGTGATGAGCAGCAAGCTGGACATCGACAACATGGCGGGCGTCTTCTACATGCTGCTGGTGGCCATGGGCCTCAGTCTGCTGGTTTTTGCCTGGGAGCATCTGGTCTACTGGAAGCTGAGGCACTGCATCAAGCGCTCCGGCAGCATGGACTTCCTCCTGGCTCTCAGCAGGGTGAGACCACCGCACGTGCGATTACATGATAGGCCATCCGCGCACAACGTGAACTTGGCCTGAGAAAGCGGAGAGCTCTTGAATATTCAACGACTGCTTCTTTCTTTTGCGATGGTCTCCTCCAGTCAATCATCAAGGTCACCTATGGCTGCATTGTGGCATGCAAATTAAAATGTTGTCGTAATGGGAGCTGTAGTGCTCATTGTATTCCACGTAGTAGATGCACTGGACAGTGACTCGCCATTTTTCGCAGAGCTTACTGTCAATTCCTACCCTACTATGAACAGGTGATAAATTATTGATATAGAGCAGGGATGGCCAACCAGTCAGAGACGAAGAGCGGAAATTTTTTCCTGCGTTACTGCAAAGAGCCACATCATACCCTTCTCGCGCACGCACACACACACACACACACACACAGACACACACTCACACGGGTGCCCACCAGTGCACTCGCGCACATATGCACGCACACCACGATGAGCAACAGTCGGAACGGGCCGAAAATAAATGAAAGCTAAAGATACAAACAAACAAATCTTTTTTCCCCCCCACCCATTTCCTCCTCCCACCCCTTGTGGTCGACTTGGGACCAGTTCGCTGGCTCGCGGTCGATTCTGATCGACATATTGGGCACCCTTGCCTTAAAATCAGAGGTAATTTGCTGACTAGCTTAGCGCGTAGCGCCGTTGTTTGTGCATGAGCGGTGATGCAGTCATCTGATTGGTTGCCCTTTATGTCAATCAAGTAACGGGATTGATGATAGGCTGACGTAGTACATTCTGTGTACTTCGCGCCTTGTTTGAATGGCATCGCCACTGCCGAGGCGTTTTCGACGCTTGTCGTGTGAAAGCCCGGGAGCCGCATTGAACCAGCCAAAGAACCGCATGCGGCTCGCGGGCCGCGGGTTGGCCACCCCTGTAATAGCGGGACCATATAAACAACCGTCTTTTCATAAAGTAGTTTGCACCCTTTCAAGTGTGCTTCAGGAAGTTGAAACCTGTTTACATCGCTACGCGGGAGGAGTTGGAAGGAGGAGTTTCAGGTATTGAATGTGGGGTTGCTGGAGCTGATTGTTGGTGTGCTCAACATAAAGTCATGACAGAGGTCAACGAAAGGGTTGGGGGAGATATGAAAAACGAATAAAATAACAGTACTGTAAATATTGCGGCATTTTTGTGATGGTGATGTTTGCCTCTGAGGGGCTTAGCCTAGTAAGCGATGTTAGGAGTCTGGTGTGAGCGTCTGGGTGTGAGTAGTGGCCTACCGCAGCTCTTGGCGTGTGTTCTCATTTTCTATTTGTGTGTCCGGGTGTCCTGTTTAATCAACATCTGGAAGCACATCAGCGGCTGTGGCTCTCGTTTCAAACGCGCGGGAGCATCGCTCTATCCTGAGCTTATTGACTGTCGGACTTTTATATTGATCAACGGGACTTCAACTGTTTGGGGGAATCTTGGCTTGTCTTAATCTTGCCGATTATGAGATGACAATATGTCAGAAGTCAGACAATTACAGATGACTGACACTGCGACAGAACATGCAAATAAAAACCCATTTGGGATTTGTTGTTCACATGTACTGAGCAGGTACGTTTTTCCAAAACCAATTTGAGAGCCGCTAATTGGCTGTAGTTGATGTTGATGTTGAACTTGGCTGGTTTTCATGTGGCGTTAAGCTCTCATCTCCGTTTGCTTCTGCAGTGAAGATTTGTGCCAAAACAGATCCCGGTTGCAGGTCTTCTTCCTCCTCCTCCTGCTGTCTGTCCTCAAGCCAGCTTTTCTTTCAGGAAGAGCGCATTAATCACTTCCATCTGCTGTAAAGTAGCTTGAACTTTAAACAGATGCACCCCTCGGATACTGCCGTTGTCTTTTGAAACAGCCGCTGATTTATGAACCGGTTTGATCCCTAAAGGGCGCTCTTGCTCATGTAAATACGTTTGTTCCTCATTAGTCCGAACCAGTCAAGTGAGCTGCGTGCCGCATGGCTGCGCTTCCTGTCGGCGAAGGTGACGCGCACCTCCCCCCGCTGTGGAGTGCAAGTCCTCCCTTATCCAACCGCAGCGCACCACTTTGTTTTTCTCGCGAGTGAATTCCACATTATCCAAGCATTTTGAGAAAAATTAAATCTGCGAGCAGAGATGAAGGGGCCAACGAGGCGTCTCATTGGCCGGCATTCCTGCTTCTGATTGGGTGAATTCCCTAGTAAGAGTTTGTCAAAATACGAACCCTCAAGTTCTTACTGTCTGCTTCAAACCATTTCAGGTATGGGTCCCTGACACCCATATGTCCAGCCTAGAGTATTTCCAGTTCACTGCTGAAACTAGTGTTGTGGACATCTCTTTTTTAACTTTATGGGGAGCGAAACAGTGACTTCTGTTGGGTTTGAGGCCCCTAAAATATGCCCATTCATGCTAGGCTATCCACGTTTGCAAAATTGGTGAGTTTTCGGGCCTCCTAAAAAGACTATTCCTCCTACGTCAGAGCAAATAGGAATAAAACCGTCACTCCAAGGCCTGTTAGCTCGTTAGTTATCTCCCAATGTGTATAGCACGCGTGCATTAATGTCTCCTCTGTGGCTCGCTGGAAGCCAATCGGTGACTCACACCAGTTTCAAATTCATAGAGCACTGAGCGGCGGGCTCGGGGGGGACGCCGAGAGCACTGCCACTGCCGTCGGAGGCACATTATTAAAGTCTCGAGCAGATTGCCGCGCCAGATTTACACCGCCGAGAATACTTGGGCTTTCGGAGGAGGACCATACCAATGCATCTTATCGGTGACATTCACGAATGAGAGCGTTTCTGTGTCTGTCTGTGTTTTTAATGGTCACGTCTTGCTTCTGTCTCCACTAGGGCATGTACAGCTGCTGTCAGTTTGAGGACGAGACGGCGCCAGGAAGCGGTAAGAGTTCCTTGCCGCAGTACCACACGGTGCCCACTGTGGCCCAGCAGCACCTGGTGACCGCCACAGTCAACAACACCGCCGCCATCACGATGGTGCAGCAGCAGCAGCAGCCGCCACCTGCGCCCAAGCACGTCCCGAAGCAGCCACAGGGGCAGACGTACACCACCATGCTGCCAGGATCGCCGCCACCCGCGAGACATTCGGCCATGGCGCTGGGACCTTCTAACAGCCCCCTCTTTGAAGGCCCCATGCCCTGCTCCACCTTCCTGCCTCGCCATGACCGCAGACTGGCCGTGGTGGATCGCTGGAACCGGCCCAAGCCGGAGAAGGTCCTGAGTGGCAGCAGTGGTGCGAGCCTGGGTATCGGGGGTATCGCGGGAGGCATCACCGAACTCCAGGCCCAGCAACAATACCAGCAGAACCTGGGACAACATTGGAAACTGCAAGGAGCAGGTGACAACGGGCTTGATGAGTACAAGCGGTACTATGGTCCTATCGATCCGGAGGGGCTCGGCGCTAATTCGGAGCAGCAGGTTGGGGTCAGCCAGCAGACTCCCAAAGCTAATCCCAGAGGTCCTAAAGCCACCGGAATGTTGAGGCCCCCTCCCAAAGACCCCGGACCCTTAATCAGTAAGCCACCACCCCCACTGCCCTCCTCGCCACGAAGGCCTCCCTTCTGGCGGCGTGGGAGTCTTGCTCAGGTGAGGAGAAAGAGCTCAGGGGGTCCTCTGTATGAGAACATCCTGCCTCTGGGGAGAAGAGGTGGTGGCAGGTACGGAGCAAGTGATCTCATGGGAAGGAGGGCCCGCCATCCTCCCGCACTTCCCCCTCTGCCGGTCCCCCTTTCTTCCCCTACGCATACCCCAACCACTCCCTCCTCTCCATGCCGCTTCTACTCCACCTGCTCCAGCATCTCATCATCTTCCTCTTCCTCCACGTCTTCATCCTCGTCTTCATCCTCCGTCTCTGTCTCCCGCTCCAATTCTCCGTCTTCTTGCTCCAGCGACAGCTCCTACAACTCCTCCTTAAGTTTCCGCTATCGCGCCGGGGACCGTGAATTTACCGCGGAGGATGATTATGACTCTGATCTGCTGACGGAAGAGTCCAGTCTTCTCCTGGGCTCGCGCCGGAAGATTCGCTCCCGGCGCATGTCGTCGCGCTCGCTGCCATGTAGCCCGCCGCCGCCCATCCCGCCGCGCAAGCCACGTCCGCTGAGAGACTACAGGCGAGAGCGGAGAAGTAGCCAGCTGGCACAGTTACAGGAGTGGTGGGCATCGTGGGGTGACAGAGAAAGGGGCACGTCTGGGACAACCATCCTTGGCGATGTGAGTGGGGTAAGAGAAGACAAAAGGCAGCGCAAGGAGAGGGAACGCGAAAACAAGAGGCGGAAGGGAAGAAAGAAAAAGAAGCGGGAGGAAAGAGAGCGCGAGAGGGAGCGGAAGCGACGCAAAGCCAAGAAGAAAAAGAAAGATGAAAAGGTGAGGAAGAAGGAGCGAAAGAAGTCGGAGCAGGAGGAAAGAGACCCTGAGAAGCGAGAGGAGGCCAAACCTGGAACGCCGGACTACCCATCATACCTTCACCTGCGGAGGGAATCATTCACCAAAAAGAGTGAGAGCTCCATTCGGAGCTATGGGTGGAACATCCCAGTTGAGGACGACAGGAAGGACAGAGAAGGAAAAGAGCGAGAGGACGGCGAGGACAGCCGAGGGAAAGAAAGGCAGCACAGACGCAGGAACAGCACACACTATCGGCCTTCCAGCACCAAGCCATCCACATCTGTCAAGTTTTGGGCGGGCAACCTCTCGTCCGACACCATCCCGTCGGCCTTCCTGCCCCTGTTGCCCGTTGCTTCAAAAAGGAGGAAGACCAAAAGCTCAGACAGGGACGTTGTTGGGATAGAAGGAGAAAGAAAACCGCTACTGGGTCGGAACGGGAGAGGGGAAATGTCCTCCAAGGAAGGTTTACCCTACCATGAATGGGAATCCGACCTGGAGGAAGACGAGTCCGAGCAAGAGCGAAGGAAAGGCGATCACGCGAAGAGGCAAGGCAGGACCATCTCCGATGAAGACCGAGACCGGGATAAGGTTGTCGGGATATATTCGGATGACGAGGGCTCTTCGGGAGAGTTTGGGAAGTTTGAGAGGTACTGGGACGATCATGACAGCAGAGCAGTGGGTGGGATTGGAGGAGGGGGCTGGTTTTTTAGTACCTACCCCTCCAGGGACAAAGCAGGTAGCATCAACAGCAGAGATGACTTGTTCCTGGAACGAGGGGAGAGGTGGGGCACCGGAGAAAGCGGGTGGGGTTGGGGGTCAGGATCACACTGGCCACCGTCTCCGCTCACGCCACCTCCACCTCGACGCTACTGGTCAGTGGACAAGCTGAACATTCAGGATGAGAAGACGACAAGGCGCAGGTCCAAGGACAAAGTGAGAGGACGGGTGGCTTGTTCTTCCTGCCACTCCCCTCAACACCATCCACACTCTCACACTTCCAAGTGGGCCCGCGTCACCTCACGCAGCCAAGAAGAGCTTTACCGCCACTGCCAGAGTTTCGGCAGCACCCCGAAACCCAAACACGACGCCTTGTCGTCCTCCAAGCCGGATCGCTCTCAGAACCCCTCCAAATGTGGAAGTCAGTCAAACCTGAGCATCCAGCAACGAATACAGAGATCGGAGAGAGTCAGACTTCCTTCCCCGCCGACCACCCTCGTTCCCAACTTGCCGGCTCCCCTTCCCGCCCTTCCGGCTCCTCCATCCTCGGTTCACCCCATCCGCGCTCCTCTGCTGACCTCCTCCTCCTCCGTGTCCTCGCCCTCCGTGGTATCGTCCACCCCGGGCGCCCCGCAGCCTTCCTCTGTGGCTTCGGCAAGTGCCAAACTGCAGTACCAGAGGCTCCGCTCTGTTCCTCCACCCCAGAGGTTTCCTCCGTCTCCTCACGTGCCCCTCAAGACCAAGGCCCTCTGCTCTCGGAGGGGCTCGGCCCATTTCTCCAGCGTGGAGAGTGAGGTCTGACGCCTGAGGCGATCTCCATCACGATCCTCCTTCCGGCCAACGTGGCCATTCGGTTTCCACACAGAGTCCTTTTCCCTGACGCTCAGCACAAAGCGACCACGCAGCGCAACAAACCTGACACAAGTCGTTTGGAGGAAAACAGGAGCCGATTCGCTTCTTCCCACAGCAACGTTTAGCATCAGAAGTGGGGCGATCAGTCTTCGGGGCTGAAGGGCACTCCTTTGCTAGGGCCGGTAAAGGGCTTTGAGAGACGGAGCAAGGGAATCATTTGTATTCAATGTGCGTTCTGAGGGCTCAGGAACTTTGTCATATACCTGCTGCTCCTGCAAGCCTTGAGCAGTCCTTGACACTCTTGTTCTTTTCCCCCCTTCTACGAATGGCTTACCCCCACTTTGCTTTCCCCACAAGAACTGTTTACATTCCCGCAAATCTGTGATGCCAGGAAGGGGCACCTTCCTCCCGTATGATCAAAACCGTTCGTTTGGCGTGAGACGAGGCGATCGTGTCATCTCACATTTTCAGTTTGTGTTGTCCTGCCGCAAGAACCTTCTCTAGCTTTCCTTCTCTCCGCGCTGTGCTTCTCGTATCTCTGTGCTTTTCTGTCTTTGTATTCTTGACAACAGGGTAAGTCAACTGTGACTGACATTCTGCTGGCTTAATGAAAAGCTGAGTGCCAAACTCCACATCAATTTTTACCCCGTTTAGCTGCCCACTACACCGTCTTACACACATTAAAGGGCACACAAACGCTCACGCGCTAGGATAAATGTGGGGTTGTTTTTTTTTTCTTTTTCCAGAGCAATACATCATGCCGTTTTTCAACGCGTTTGCGTTACTCTTGTGTTGTCGTCGTTGTCGTTATTGATGTCGATCTATATAATTCTAAATATTGAGAAATGTAACGAGTCTCATACGATGTAAGCACTGTGCTATACGGCCCGTGGTACATTCCCGCCAACTACCTACCGCAGGAACGGCAGCAGAAGCTGCATCCACTCCCTCCCTCGCCCCTTCCTTGAATTGAATGTAACGTAGACAATTAACACGCCTGATGGGGATGACGTGGCATCGATTTAGATGTACGCTAGCCTTAACGGGACGCATTTTTTTTTTTCAACCTCATTCCTTATAGACGAAACGCTTAACCCAAACCCTTGCCTGGAACCTTAATAACCCATTACCCTAACCCTGTACCTTTAACTCTACCCTTTATCGCTAATCATGCTGACCCCCTCCATTACAATCCTCATCCTACTTTTGACCGACCTACGTTATCCTAATCTAATCCCAAACACTTAACTCTCCCCATCAACCCAGTCCCGAATCATAAATGTAAGGCTTACCCCTTTACCCTCATCTTGAAACCGAAGCCTATCCCCCAGAGCCCAACCTATGAATGTAATTAGGACCCCCTTCACCCTCACCTCTAACACTAAGACTATCCCTGGACCCTCACCCACAACCCTAAAGCAAATCTTTGAACGCTACCACTGTGGAAGGTTTCCAAATGTGATCATATCCAAGGGTTTGCATTGCATCGAGCATAGCAACGGGGTGTCTCTTTTGCACGCTGGTGCTACACTTGTTAGACCAGGCCACAGGTTGTCGCAGGGAAATGTGCTAAGTGTAGCTAAATGCTGCTCCCGAAGGATTACATGCGTGACTTTGGAGTCTCCGTGTAATTCGCGCAGCAGGGCTGATTTGGATTGGTTAAGTGCCGTTCTGAGGAGAGACAGTGCCTATGTTGGATCCTAGCTAGTGGCAGCATTGGCTGGAATACGCGCGGTGGCGTGCGAGCAGCGCAGCAGCGCCTAATCCTGTTGGCGCACTTTTCAAAAACCGTTCTCACCTTGAAGATGAGCAGTTTTTTTTTTTTTAACCTGCCAGCGAGCTGACACCAGCAGCTAAACTCCAGAAGCAAATGAGAAGAATTCACGCCGCTAGCTGCGAGCCTGCTGCCATCAACTTTTAGCATTGATGGACACGAGCGGAGTGCCAACGTGGTCATCTTTCGAGTCACCTTTTCAGCTTGCCTGAAACTGCATCTGAGCCATTATTTACTCCAACCAGAAGAGACTTTTAAGTAAAAAAAAAAAAAAACATTTCAAAGTCAATCTGCCTTTTCGCTAATGAGCTAAATCTACTTCTATATACCTACATACATGTGACATTCGTGTTTGTCCCAGTGTGTCGCGTTAACAATCTTCATGTTTTCTCTCTTCTGGGTTCTCAAATGATTAATCCCACAGACCTCCGCCAAGGTTTAACAATCACACTGTGCATTGTTTAAAAATAATAATAAATCCTGTAGTAGTGTCCTCACGTAAGGCATCACATTGGTTGAGTGGATAGCACATCTGCTTCACAATTCTGAGGTACGGGTTGCAATTTGGGCTCCGGCCTCACTGTGTGCAGATGGCTTTCCCTGCGCTTGCGTGTTTTCTCTCTGGGTACTCCGGCTTCCAAAAAAAAAAAAATGGATTTGCGATTCACTGAACATTCTAAAATTTAGAGGCTTCATGGTGTGAATGTAGTTGGTGACCAGCCCGTTGGGAGAGCGGGGGTACCCCACCTCTTGGCCCAAGTCCAGCTCATCCGAGGCGCTAATGATTAGATGCACTCTCCTCGCGTAGCGGATGCGTCCTACAAGTAAACACCACTTCCTTGGCGGAGGTATCCGGAAGAACCCAAATGGTAAAGTTAGCCCATTTTGTGTTGGGCGATGTCGTTTATCTCCCATCCATCTTGTCCCTTGGTGTGTTCTGCTTGTGCGGCTTTCAAAAGAGGAAGAGTCCATGTGTAATATGTGTTGCTCTTAAATATCTGAGATCTATATTTAAATCGAATCTGCTCTAAGTTTGACTCTCTTTTCTGTCTTTTGTCCTCGTCTGGACCCTGCCCTCTTCTTGAGCCACCCCGCCCCCGCACTGGTCCCGTGCTCAAAGAGACCACCACGTAACTGTGTTCTCACTCGCCTCCGTGAGCCAACACCGAGGTTCCGACCCAGTGACAGTGTGGCGTGGCGGCGGGGGGGTGCGCCAGTGTCTTATGACCGTCTCACTGTAGCGGCGCTGGCGAGCGTTTGTCTACCTAGAGGGGCCTTCTTTCTCTTCGCTTCTTGGCCTATGCGTGACTTCACGGACTTGCTGCTTTCTAAGCGCTCTTGTGTGTGTGTGTGTGTGTGTGTGTGTGTATGTGTATGCGGGCGGGGGCGTGGCCTTTGACCTCTTGCGACCCCCGCTGCACCACGGGGGACCACGTGGGGGTCTCTGACACCATGTAGCAAGTAGGCTTCTTTGATGCTGTGTCTTCTTGACCAGGGTTGCAAAATTCCAGTAAATTTTATTTTTTTGCGAGCTCATATCACGGTTCATGGAGTGAATGGCAATGCTGACGATCAGTCTACTGCTGATGTCTAAAAAACAGAAAAAGCTAGAAACAAGATCCCCCCGTGGTTAGAGAAGAGTCAAAGCTTTGCTTTGGTAGCCTTGGTGTTTGCATCGTCACAAAAGACAATATTTTGCGGGTCAAATGGCTGTGAAATGGCTGGCATCAAATAGGTTCCAGAGCCAACCTACATTTCTGTAAATTCCTCATTTATTCACCTTTGTTCCTCTTTACTCCAATGGAAAATGTCCAATTTCAAGAATTCATGCCGGACTTTTGCAACCCTCATCTTGACAAATGACAAACACTGTTTCCTTCTTGACTTGACAAAGATGGAGCGGTGCTGGGGCTCCCACCGAGGCTTGGACTGGGCCAGCCAGGGCCGGTTTGACTCCAAACAATTGTTACTTCGAACATCTTTCAAAAGGAAGCCAAAAGTGCGCGTATGTACTCCTAAAGTTGGCGCGTGCCCTGGAATTACCATTTCTAGCCTTGCGGGGGTAAAACAGCCTGCAGCCAAACAAACTGTACAAGCTAATACTCGAGAGTTGTGCTACACGCATTTGTTGTCACACACACACACACACACACACACACACACACACACACACACACACACACACACACACACACATTCACATACACACACATGTGAGGGTGATGACAATACAGTAATGTGATGGAGCAGGACAGATAATTTTAATAAAGAACTACAAACTGAAATACGTAAAGGTACTGACTGGGTCTGTTCAAAAGTGTTGCTAATTATGTGTGCATGTTTTTGTGCATGCGTGTACAGAACCAAATGTCTGAATTGACACTGTGAGAGTGTACATGGCGTTTGAGTTTTGCGCATCCCTTCACTTGAGGATCAATGGGGTCTCTCTGTCTCTCTGTGGCTCGCTCTTTTGCTCTCTCGCTCTTTCTCTCGTTTCTTGATTTTGCTTCTGCAGGGTAACCTGGAGTATCATGCAGATAGTCGTGTGTGACTGGTGGAGACGCCTCTGCTGCTGCATTCCGTAAGCCTCCAGTTACACCGAGAGACACCCGCACCCACACCCACAGAGTGACTGATGAGTTAAGAGTGTGTGACTGTGCGCGCGTGTGCAGCTGCACTCAGCAATAAAAGCACAGCTGATTGGATTTGGGGATCGGTGGCACTAAAAAGCTTCAATCCTGCAGGAGAAAACTTGCTCAAAGTTTTTAATAGATGTGCTGCAGCCTGAATCCCGACTGCAGGCCGTGAATCTAATACAGTACTGTAGTACTCGAAGACATGCACCGGCGCATGTCCTCCACTAGAGGGTGCCAGATAACGACGTGAGTGTACCGTCCCACATTCGTCACCGAAAACCTCCAACGTGGACTGATCACGTGCGTATCTTCCTAACAGGAGACGAGCTACAAATGCTACCAAACAGCTTAAAAGAAGGCTAATACTCGCACAAGAAAAGCTAAGACAATTACAGCTCAGCTTCTTCTTCTCCTTTCGGCTTGTCCCTTTTCAGGGGTTGCCACAACGAGTCATTAATTTCCATCTTTCCCTGTTCTCTGCATCCTCTACTCTGGCTCCAACTACCTGCATGTTTTCCCTCACGGCATCCATGAATCTCCTCTTTGGCCTTCCTCTCTGTCTCCTACCTGGTAGCTCCATCTCTAACATTCTCCGACAAATGTATCCACTGTCCCTCCTCTGCACATGTCCAAACCATCTCAGTCTGGCCTCTCTAACTTTTTCTCCAAACTTACCTGCCTGTCATGTATAGGAAGGCATTTTTAGCCGAAAAAAACGACGATGTATAGTAAGGCATTTTTAGCCGAAAAAAAACGACCATGTATTGTAAGGCGTTTTAAGCCGAAAAAAACTACTATGTAAAGTAAGGTGTTTTTAGACGAAAAAAAAGACCATGTATAGGAAGTCGTCTTTAGCCGAAAACAACCACCATGTATAGTCAGGCGTTTTTAGCCGAAAAAAAAGACCATGTATAGTAAGGCGTTTTAACCCGAAAAACCCGACCATGTATAGTAAGGCGTTTTTAGCCGAAAAAAAACCACCATGTATAGTAAGGCGTTTTTACCCGAAAAAAACCAACATGTATAGTAAGGCGTTTTTAGCCG